ATGTCAAACGCTTTCCCGTCAAATGGCTCCCCAGACCGCCAGAAAACCCCCAAGATGGCCCCAAGAGACCTCAAAGAGGCCCCCGAGAGGCTTCCAGAGGACCCCCAGAAGAGACTCCAAGAGCCTCCCAAGAGAACCCAGGAGGCCTCAAAAGTGCCTCCACGAACGCATGCGAGTGCCAGCGATGCAACAAGACAATCCTCCAACACAGCCTCCAAGACGCCTTTCCCCCAGAGGTGGCCGCCGCTGCCAGAGGCCCCCGGGAGGCCTGGAGGCCGCAAGACCACCCAAAGAAGGCCCCAAGAGGCCTGACGGAATCAGCGAAGCGATTGAATTCGGCGGGCCCCCTGCGGGACCTGGCCGCGTTAGCCTTCGAGGATCGATGACTAGATATGGAGGAGGATGGAGGAGAGGGAGAAGCATGCATCCAAGCATGCTAGAAGCGGCTTCGCGCATTCCGCCGGCCCGCAGGGGCCAGCGGCACATCCGTTCTCGCTGTGACACGTGGAAACTCGTGCGATCTGCGCTCTCAGGCTCCCAGCGCACGTGAATGTACGAGTGATGTGCGCTGGGCACCTCCGTTCGGCACACCCCCGACGCACTTCGTACGTCATGGGCGCTCAGCTGGCCTCCGAGACGGCTCTCCGTGGAGTCTCCGGTCGGCACACACACACACACACACAAACACCTCCCCCTCCTCCTCCTCCCCCTCCTCCTCCTCCTCCTCCTCCTCCTCTTCCTCACCCACCTCTTCCTCCTCCTCATCATCCTGCTTCTCCTGCTCCTCCTCATCATCCTCCTGTCCTCCTCCTCATCCTCCTCCTCCTCCTCCTTCTCCCCGTGCAGTGCATGCAATGGGGTGGCCCCCCGTAACAGCTTAAGTCTGGACCTCGTCCTCCTCCTCGTCCTCCTCCTCCTCATCCTCATCTTCCTCCAAACGCACTTCGAGTCCCGTGGACTTCAGGGGCGACCTGATGGCGCTCAGGACGGCCGAAGGGAACGCCAATTCGGCAGATCCATCACGCACTGCGTGCATTGAAGATTTATCATCTGAGGCCCGAATGAGGCCAAATTTACCGCTTCTCCTGGGACGCGTAGAAATACCAGCGAAACGTGCTCCCATGGCCTCAAGTGGCCGTTTCGCTCGGGACATCCTCTACAAATCGGCTTCGGAAAGGACTCTGAATCTCAAATGCTGCCGTTTCGCTCGCCACCGGCCTCAATTCGGCACACCCCTGACGCTCTCAACTGACCCCTCAGACGGCTCATAGCAGCTCAAATTCGAGGCACCCCTCACGCACTTCGTCCCCCATGGACACCCACAAGGCAGTCCGACACCAAACGGGGCGCCAACATGACCCCAAGAAGCATTGCAACGAGTGGTGCCGACCCTCGTCGAGGCACTTTCCCTAACACGCTCTGGTTGCAAAACCTGCGTGCAAGCTTCCCCCCCTGGGGGCCCGCAGTGACTCCCGCTCTGCGGGCCCAATTCGGCGAGACCCCTTTGAGCCCTGGCCGTGTTGGCCTTCGAGAGAAGATGATGAGATGACGGTGAAATCAGCGACGAAAAGAAACGGGTCGTACGCGAGATGGCACAGCGACCTTACGCCGCAGCTTACGCGGGCCGCTGGCGCGGCACGCTACACTGGAGACGAGGGCGCCTACGCGCGACCTTGCGCGGGCAGCTTACGCGCCAATGCTGGCGGAGACGACCCCGTTTTTTCCGCCGCTCAGATGGAGGATGCTCAAAAGCATGCACGATAGGCATGATCAAGGTGGCCTTGCGCATTCTGCCAGCTTCAAGCCGGCCGCACGGTGACAGATGTTACGTATCAAAATTCCCCTGGGGGCACTCAAAAATACAAGCGAAAACCGCTCCCAGCGCTAAGCCCACGCGCGTGACAGCCCCTGGGACACTGAAAAACACGAGTGAGATGCGCCCCCAGGGCTGCGAGAGCCTCGTTTTGGCGCACCCCTCACGCATTTCCTGTCTGACATTATTCCAGGACGCAGAAAATACGAGTGAGCAGCGCTCTCATGGCTACGACACTGCCATTTCGGCGCACCCCACCCTCAGTTCCTGCTCCACAGTGTTCCAGGACATGTGAAGATACGGCTGATCTGCGCTCCGAGGACCACGAAGGGCTCAATTCTGTACACTCTTCCCACATCTCCTGCCCCACATTCTACGGGGACGCAAACAAAAACAAGTGATTTGCGCTAGGCTCTTGGGACACATCTGAGTGAGGGGGCCGAACGATCATTCAGTGTCCCTGGGTGCGTGGCTGAAGTGGGGTTCCACGGTGCGGATTGTTGCTTCTCGCTGCGGGGGTGAATTCTCACTTCTAACTAAAAATGATTGTTGATCCCCCCGGTAACAATTGCACTGTTCAATTAAAATGCTTATCCCGGAGCCCGCACCCTGTTTCTTACAAGGGAAAGCGAGGTGTCACCAAACTGTTCCCCTGGCTCTCGGTTTACAACAACAACGGCTCCCGCCTGATACTTCCTCACAACGCATTCCCAGAACGCGCTCTCGCATGGGGCTTTCTCATGATGTACGTAGAAATCGCGCTTTCGCATGGGACTTCCTCACAATGTATTCAGACGCCGCGCCCTCGACGCTCAGGAATCACGCTCTCGCTATGGATCTCCTCACGATTTAATTGTAAATCGCGCTATCGCTCGAGACTTCCTCGCGATTCATGCCTGCTCGACCTGGCCGCCCAGGACCGCCGTCCCGACCCGCATGTTCGGATCTACCCGCCCGATTTGCCCGTCTGGTTCTGCCTCATGCGTTATGCTCATAGCCCCCCTCCTGCTACTCTCTCTCGCGCTCCATCCTCCTTCCTTCCCCTTGTCCCTTCCTTCCATCCGTCCTCTCTTCCCCTGACTTAGGGGCTGCACTAAATGCACGCTGCAGGTTACAAAGATATACCCCCAAGGGGGTACGATCGAAGACGAAGAGGGCCAGTATCGAGGGTTTGGGATGTGTGCGATCAGACAAGAGCGAACAGTCTAAAAATGGTTGTTGTTGCTGTTGCTGTTTGTAGTGTTGGTGATGGTGTTGTTGCTGATGCTGTTAACGGTGTTGTTGTTGGTGGTGGTGGTTTTTGTGGTTGGTGGTGTTGCTGTGGTTGTTGTTGTCGTTGTTGTTGCTGCTGCTGTCCTTGTTGTTGTCGTTGAACGTTGAATTAACCATTATAAAGGATGTGTAGTGGTGATCCCCCCTCGAGGGCAATTGGTGTGTTTCAATTTCAGCGCTCCTCCTGGGGCTCGCACCCTGTTTTTTTGTTCAAGGGAAAAACGAAGTGTCACCAAACTGCGCCCCTGGCCCCCGAGTTGCAACAACGGCTCTCGTCTGATACGTCCTCACACGTTATTCCGATTACGCGCTCTCGCGCGGTACCTCCTCATAACGTCTGCAGGGCGATCCCGTGTGGGACTTCCACGCCGCCTCCCGCCCTTGGGAATCACGCTGACGCTCTGGCTTTTCTCACGATTTGTCTGGAAGTCGCGCTGTTGCTCGACGCGTCCTCGCGACTCGTGCTCCCGCTGCGGCAAGCCCCGCCTGCTCCACCTGGGGTCTCCCCGCCCGAGCTGCCCTTCTGGTTCTGCCATATGTGTTGTTTCTGGTCCTGGCCCTTCTCCTGCCAGTCTCTCTCGTGCCCGATCCTTCTCCCTCCCCCTTCCATCCGACCTCTCCGACCAGCCATAACTGGGGGAGCTGTGGTCCTTATCCCCCTGGGGGAACCCATCGCGTCGACGACCTCTTGAGAGGTGTGTCGAAATCGATGGGTCCCCCAGGGGGGTAAGGACCACAGCTCCCCCAGTTGTGGCTGGCCTGCCTCTTCCCCTGTTTGAGGGACTGCGCCTACACGCGGCAGGCAGGGAAGATGTACCCCAAAGGGGGTATGATGGAAGACGAATAGGGCGGGCACAGAGGGTTTGGGATATACGTGTTGGCTAGTACGCGAGCAGGCAAGAGCGAACAACATTGAAATGATTGTTGTTGTTGGTAGTGGTGGTGGTGGTGTTGGTGTTGGTGTGGTTGGTGTTGG